AAGGGACTGACAGATGGAGAGAGACAGATCGACAAAGAGAAACAAGGATTGGCGCTCCCTCAGTTTTACTTCACCAGCTTCAGATTGGCCTCCGAGCCGCGTCAGGCCCCCGGTAATTATCCCCTGCCAGCTTGCTAGCAATAGGGCGGCTTTTTGTGAGGGGTAAGCCTGCTAAGTGATAATTACCAGCATAATGAGAAAGCCACCTCTCTCTTACTTTGTGTGCGCTCTGTTGTGCACGAGGGCACCTTTCGGACCGCTGTGCCTCATTTTTAAAAAGTACGAAACGTCTTATGTTTCTACCCAACGCTGTGGATGGCGAGCGCTGGTAGAAAAAAAGGGAAATCCACCAAACAGCTGTCAAAAAAGTGGAACCACTGCAGAACACGCATTGCATAAGAGCCCCCAAACTCATTTCATTCCATACTGCAAATTCATATTCCTACAAATTAAGTGCCACCCCACCCCCCCTTCTCCTTTTGACTTCTTCTGCGCCTCACGCTGTGCAGATGTTGGCTCCCGGATGTGCGCATGCAAGTGTTAATACCCTGAATGAGTCCTCGCTCGCTGTCGCTAAGGAGAATACAGTCAAGGCTTTAGCTGGAGGAAGGGAGAAAAAAAGCAAAGAGGGGGGGGGGGGGGGAGATGAATAGAAGCTCGTGAAAAGAAAGAGGAGGAAATGAGGCAGTGGGTGACAAGATTTCAGCTGGAGGAGACAGTTTGTCAAAGCAGGGGGAAGGTGCAGCGCGATAGCTCATCGCCATTACTTCAATGAGACCGTGTGTGTGTGTGTGTGTGCGTGTGTGTGTGTGTGTGTGTATATATGTGTATAGAGTAGTGACACACGCGCTCACCATCTTCTTCCGCAAATTAAAAACAAGAGGAAGCGCGTGTTGAGATAATCTACCGCGGGACGTCCTCCCCGTAATAACTTATTAAATGTTATCATTGATTGTTAAACACTTAAGCGTGACGAGTCCTCGTGTAGGAGTCGCTCGCGTCCTGTTTGCTCTCCGCGTGGACCCAAAGTGGACATTTGTGTCTCTGTAGATGTGTCTATGTTGTGTACATTTGCACATATATGTGTGATACAGTGTCTGGGGGGGGTAGGTTTAAGACTGAAATGAAAAAAGGCTTTTTTTAGCACTGCACTCAGCGCCTCGTCCGCTGGGATTGTGGCGCGGCTGCAGTCGAATGCACGAGGTCACGGGTTCAACTCGCATCCGTCCAAATGGCGTGCGTTAGGAGTTGGAGGCATGAGAACATGTAATGTTTCAGGTGAAAACATGGATGGAAAAGGGTTAATCTTGCTTTTAAAAATGCTCGCTTTTACTCTGGGCGGATGTTAAGCAATCGACTACCGTACAACTTGTTTTTTTGTTTCTTGATTTAACCATCAAGTTTCTCCAAATGGTAGAACTTCCACCAGTAAATGCACTTCTTCTTAACTGAAGGCACGTAAGCAGCGTGTCAAACCACCATCACTCTGCTTCCGCTCGGCACATTTTCAGAGCGCGGGCCTCCGAGACGCAGTGATTTGTAGCCATCAGTGAGCTGCAGACGTTCCATCTATCTATTGAACTATCCATCACTCCGTGTTTACATTTCAAGCCTCCCATGTGCAGCAGTGGCACCATCTGTGACGTGTCGGAAAGGCGCTGACGCTTCCCATCTGCCCCACGAGGAATACGAGGACTGGAGCACATAGAAAAGAATCCGGCACACGCACGGAAATGAAACGGAGCGATGCTCTACTTCTGTGACTGGGAAGTGAAAATAGTCACTCCGCTGGGACCTCCGTGACGTTATTTTTATCGACGTGGGATTGATCGATCGGGAGGCCAATGCTGCGCCGCCTGACAAGACACGCCGGGAGTTAGCAGGTTATATAAGCTGATCTAAGTGAAAGGAAACACCACGATGATACTCCAAACCTTTCTGTAGCGATGGAGAGCTTCTGGGTCAACATGCAGGTTAAACCTGGATTAGTAATTCATCCCAGCAGTAGTGAAGCACTGACCGAGACCCTCAATAGACGACTGAACCACATGGGTCCTGCAAAGCCAGACTTAAGCCGTAGCAAAACACATATTTTAGTTTGCACATATTTTCATTTCTGCAGCAACATATCAACATCATCAGCAGTCAGTGAGGTGCTCATCAATACGGCTATAGAGCCTACTTTAAATAAATGGCCACACAGCCTTCCTTCATTAGCCCTGAGCCTGCAGCATTGAGCCCCGTGGCAGAAAAACTACTTTATTATGCATGGACAGCAGCAATGCATATGCAGCTAGTTTGTTTCCTGCGGAACCACTGCATGGCTCCTTCCCAACGTACTTTATATACAGCATGATTCCCCCTATAGAGTAAGCTTTCCTTGTTTTTACACTCTGCAGGGGGAGTCTTATCATTTCCCCATCACAGAATGCTGCACAGTGGCTGGTCTTCCTCCCTCATGCAAGAGGAGTACATGTCAATACATCATCTATCTTTATCCTACCGAGTGTAAACGTTATCAAATCATTAAAATCCCAATTTGTGGACCTTCTTGGAACCCTCACCCTCTCCAGGTCCCGGACCCTACTTTGGGGAAACCCTCGTGCACCACCAGATGTTTTAAAGAGCCCGCTGGCGATGTGAGCTGGTGTCACTGCTGCTGCTGCTCGCCTCTCATTGCGGTGATTCTGTCAGACTTGGGACCAAAGGCAATGAAGAGTGGAGAGCGCTGCGCTAAAACATTATGTTCTTAAACCGCACCTTGGGTTGCGAGTTCTGGGGGGGGGGGATCATGATAATGATGATGATGATAATGTATGAGCGGTGAGATTATGAACGCAAATAAGAAACAAACAAAGCTTGAGTTGCGCGTGCTTGCTGTAGTGATAGGACATGGGTAACCATACAGGTGCATGATGTTGACACATGGGCTTATCATCCAGATGTGATGGAGAGAAATACATGATCACCCCGGTGGAGAAAAGCGCTGACTGGCCGCAGCAGCAGCGCGCTAAATAACTCACTTGTAGACTGCACCGATTGGTAAAAAAAAAGAATAATTCATAATTCATGCTTTTAACACGCGCGCACTCACTCACCTCGCTCATCTTGGAAACCTCGCGCGCGGATGGGGAGTTCTGCAGCAGAAGTGGACTTCTTCGGTCTTCTTCTTCTTCTTCTTCTGCTTCTCTCCGTGTTCTCAAACCGAAGCCGAGCCGTGCGAGAGGAAGAGTGCTGCGGACTGTTTTGCCGGACAAGCTGCGGGGGGGAAATAAACCGGACAGAAGAACAGTGGTGTTGCTTGCGGACGCTCCGAGAGTGAAGTGATGCTCAGTTCCTCTTTTCGGTAGAGACGATGGAAGGAAGCTTTAGTGCCTGTAACGGTGCGGTTTATGGGCAACACAATCTCTCTCTCTCTCTCTCTCTCTCTCTCTCTCTCTCTCTCTCTCTCTCTGTCTCTCTCTCTCTCTCTCTCTCTCTCTCTCTCTCTCTCTGTCTCTCTCTCTCTCTCTCGCCCCTCTCTCTCGCCCCTCTCTCTCTCTCTCTCTGTCTCGCCCACTCAAGTCTCTCCAGTCACCAGGGAGCAGCCTATTGCCCTAGTACAGGGATGTAGGCTAATAGATACATAATAAGAAAGGGTAACCCTGGAGCATTTGACTCTGCCTTCGGCGGAATAGTGTTAATTGGTGTTTTATATAATATATATATATATATATATATATATCATTTATTTCCTTTTTAAATCGTTATGGTCCGGCACGCTCTCAATAAGAGATGTAGTTTCACAAAGGGCCACTTCCTTTCAGGTGGATTTTGCATCTTTTTTTTTTTGTTAAACCCCTTTGCACCAGAGCTGTTTCGCTATTATACTGGTGATTTAATCTGCTCCGTCCCAGTTTTATAAAGCCAACCAAAGGAATGTACGACTTCCTTTCGGTACTTTCAAAAATAAATAATAAAAAACAAGAATAATTTGAAGATTAAATCGGTTAGAATGACAATACAATATGTTTGATTCAGTTTGCACTATTAAGTACATATTCTAACATCTCTTCATTTATTTCATTATAAAAAAAACAAACCCTGTTTTTTCATTTTATTTTGAAAGAAAACTCTGTTGCATCCGCTTTTGTGCGAGCTTTTCACTCAGGTTTGGACCGCATTTCTTTACGTGGGCTGGACAAACTCAAATTGAATTTACGCAATTAATAGCGCTATTGTTTACTTCACGTGCCTAAATCTTATTAGTGGCGCTAATACTTAAAACCCAGACCTGGTCGTTTCAACCCTGTCATGCAGTAAACCAGTGTCCACTAGAGGGCGCTGTTGCGTCACACAATCATCACGTACTGAAATCCCAAACTCTTGGTTGGGGATCTGGAGGCTGACCGTAAACTCCCTCCAGATACAGATAATAAGGAAACGATTCATTAGTCGACGCCTGAAGACGCTCACAGAACTGCAGTGGTCCTTATAGATGACAGCGTTTGTGCTGCAGTCTGGAAGGACCGCTGAGGCACGAAGGCCCCTCGTCGTCTCTGCACATGCTTATGCTTTATCTAAAGTTATTGTTAACCTGCAAACTGTTGATACATCCCGTGGAAAAATATCTAAACTACCCTTCTACACAGAGTCACAAGATGATTGAGTGGAGGAGGGAAAATATTTCTGCTATACACAATTTTCTAGCATTGCATGCAGCCACAATGTCCAGACAACACATGTGATGAATTATATTCTCGAGGGGCCTAAACTCACCATTTCTAACACCTTTAAAACAATTGTATAAGCTCAGAGTGGAAACAAAGTGGGAGGGGGAGGAATGTGGTGTCCCTCAAAATATCTGCAATTCTACTCAAAGCCACAAGAGGACTTCCTTCTCTAAAAGTTCTACAAACAATACATACATATTCACATTGTCAGACATCTGGGAGTTTTATGTAATCATAATAATTGGAGAAATGGCATCGGGTGTAGAAAGACAGGAAAAAGAGTCTTGGTTATTTTGTTTGTGTTTATTTATTTCTAATGTGTTTTATTTTATTTTTATTTTTTTTTTAATCTGTCCACAAAGTCATATTAGTCACTACTATGTTAGATCAGTTTTCCCTCACTGCAAAATGCAGAGATGCATTTCACCAGTTTTCAGTGAAGCTCTTATGATCCCACACAGATGAGACAAAGAAATGGGCTGAACTTGCTGTTAAACATACTTTCACTCTGCTTATGGACGCAATAAAGGCACCCACGCGTTGTCTTCGTAAAACAGTCAAGTTCTCTGAAATCAAACTATTCCATCAAAAGAGTAAAAATATCAACTCGAGAGGATTCGTTTCTTTCTGTGGAAGACATTTGGGAAAATTAAATCTCCAGAGAAGAACGCTACTTGGACACAAAATGGTTGGTTTTGAAACTCTGTCATCACAGAGGAGATTGTTTTGTCATTAGACATGTAGATTGATTGGCAGGCTGTTTTATTCCCGTCTGCCGGTGGGAGGAGTCGAAGGGACCATCGCTCGGGTTTGTGCTCTCTTTAAAAAAAACAAAAAAAACACAACAGCTCTAGTGCTATCTGTACAACATTCAACAACACATTTCTCTTGTTTTTTTTTTAGTTTTGTCTTATTTTTTTTGTTGTTTTTTACCATAATGCCAAAACAATAATAATTATCATCATAAGAAGAGCATTTTTCCATCTCAACGGCATTGAACAAACACCACACAAACTGAAATAAAAATCTAATAAAGGCCTCAATACCAGATAGTACACGTCACCTTCAAGTGGTGCTATAGAGATAGACAGTTTACGGACGAGAGAGAGCAACATGGAGGAAGAGCAAGCGAGAGAGAGAGAGAGAGAGAGAGAGAGAGAGAGAGAGAGAGAGAGAGAAAAGGAGGAAGGATGGGTTAAAAAAAGTATTATTTCATTTTCTCAAGTTGAACATTACTTTAGTGTCACCTGGGACATGTTTTGGCACCTTTTTAAGAGATTAAATATAAGATTTATTCGACTTAGACTTGGGCTTTGGTTTACAAAGGGTTAGTGTTAAGACCAAAAGTAGTCTAACCCTACATCTACAATGATTTGTACTTGTCTAAAGGTTAGGTAGTCCATTCTTTCAAGAGTCTAGCCATGCTAGCTCGTAATAAGGCCTAGTGGCCTGGTTTAAGGCCGAACAGGCCCGAAACAGCAGAGAGAGAGAGAGAGAGAGAGAGAGAGAGCGAGAGAGAGAGAGAAAGAGCCTCCCCCAGGAGAGAGAGGGGTCGAGAGGTAACGACATGAGATAACAGATTGAGGGAAATGAGCAGAGGTGATAAGAGGGGAAGAGGAGGAGAAAGGACGGGGGGGAGTAAGGACAGACGGAGAGCAAGAACGAGTGTGATATAGGCTAAGTGCTTTTGGTGAGTTTTACAAAATACACCAGGAAGTGCTTGAAACAGAAGGCACGATGGCATTGACAGTAGTTGTTAAGGAGACACCACTAAGGGACTTATCACTACAGAACTCATAAGGTGCTCTACAGAAGGAACTCAAAACACATTAATGCACATTAAGGTGTGGCTGCAATCGTAGGATACCCCATCAGAAAGTAGTCTAAGTAGATAAATAGTGGTTGTTCACCAGCGTGAGGGGGGGGGGGGGGGATCACTGCCCCGCGTTCATGGTTTTCTCTTTTCAAAACACAAGAAGTCATGATATTCATGAGTGATTGTTTTCATTTATAGCAGTTGACGTTTACACAAAGGTGAACTTTCTTTAACAACCAGTTCAGTGGTTGGATATCCGACGCACTGATCAACTGATTGACGGATTTGGCTAATCGATGGGGTAAATCTATCCAAACCACAGTGTTTACACATTCAAAAAACGACAACAGAAAGTGACAGCTTCCATTGAAAAAACGTTTGGTCTATCGATAAAGTCGAAAACAAAAACAACTACTTTGGGAACTGAAACCTTGCACAGTGCTCTGTATAGACATTCCAACTAGTCTTAGCTCACAAACATTATAATCAATATTACCTATATTGATAACCTTTTTCTGTAAGCATCTTGAAATGAAAATAAACAAAAGTCTGCTTTTTTTTTTCTTCTTCTCATCTTTACAAAAGCTACACATATTCTACTGGGATGTCTATGCATTTTGTTAGTGTTTTTAATAATTACTCCTACCATTGTCTTTTCTTCTCTTATTAAAAAAGAAGAGAGGAGATCTACTCATCTAAATGACGCCATACCCCCCCAAGAGTAGTCTGTTTCTCAGATTCAGTCCTGTTTTGGCAGAGGTACGGCTTTCTTTTTCCTTCTCTACCTTGTATCGTTCCTTTTTCCGACACAGTCGCAGAGTCTCTGTGTCTTTAAAAAGGGTGTGTCAGTTGATTGTGTCCCAGGGGGGCTCGGGCGACGTCCCTACGGCAGTAGGGAACAGTCTCCCGCTCTGAGTTTTGTTCTTTTCCACGCATCTACGTTGCAACCCCAACCCACATTCGGCGCCATTGTAAACACTGAATTTTTAAACTTTGACCCCTTTCGTATCGCTCAGCCTTTGACCTCTTTCACTGCATTATCTATATCGCCTACTTTTTTTGTTTGTTTTCTATTCTGCCGCCTGTGTCAAGTACAACACGCTACAATGTAGCATTTCTTTTACAACTTAACTATTCACAACACCCTAGAACCACTTTGAACAAATATACTGTACTTAAATTGTTTTAAACTGTATATTCAGATAAAATGAATGACCTATCAGAGCCTCGATGCGCAGGAGCACCAGAGACTCTCTCGACAATGCACATGAACAGGCACTAACTGAAAAAAAATAAAAATGTTACAAACGTTTCTTTCTGTTTTTCTTTAGGACAATCGTGTAGAAACACTTTTCAGACAAACAAGGCAGTGATATATAGTCGAGGGAAAGCACGCGGTCTGCAACAGTTATGTCATGCCTTAAATTAATACCAAAAAGCTCAGCTGAGGTTCACAGCTTGAAACTTTTCTACACTTAACTTTCCTCCACATTTGTGTGGGTGGAGGAGGAACTTGACGTTTGAGGTTTCAAACCGTTCGGTGGTCTGTCAGGAGAGTATCTCTTCACAGCTAGCTTCAGCCTCGTCAGTATAGTAGTCTGGAATAAACAGTCCGTTATTGGTGTGAAACAGATGTGTGTGGAATGATGCCTTAGATCGTACAGATTTATCATGTAGGAGATCACTTGAAAAAAAAAGAGGAAAAAGTGGCCTACAAAAATCCTGAAAAGATGCATATTTGCTCTTTTGCACAGGAAGCTTATTTTGAGGATGACCATACTGTCGGAACCGAACAAGACGAATAATGTCGTAAGGAAAATAAAAGCTGTGATGTTTCTCTTGCTCTTTTCAAAACCTCAGGAGTTAAGAATCCTTTGCCCGTTTCTTCAATTCTGTGTCGAATGTAGTTGAAAACATTGAACCCAACCCTCCAGTTTGAATGGTGTCATCCCAAACAAAGCCTTTTAATCTGTAAAGACTCTTTCCTCCTCTCCTACCATGTGGTTGGAGCTCAGGGCCGGTGAAAGAGCGAGGGACATCCTCAGATCCTGGTCCTCTGAATCCTCCAGGCTGCTGTTCTCCAAATTCTCTTCCAATTCTTCCTCTTGATCCTCCTCATCCCCCTCCATCTTTCCCTTGAGTGCCAGACCGTCTCTGACATTCTTGGACACTGAGGCCACGTCTGGGTGGCCGAGGATGTCGTCCAGATGGTCCTGTGTATCCTCAGAGAGCCCATTCATGGTCTTGGCCTGCGTTGAGGACCATTCTCCCAGGGGTGCCTGGGACTCTGCCTCGGTCACATGCCTCCATATTGTCAGAGAGTCGAGATCAGAATGATCCGTCCGGGGCTTGGTGGCCTTTGGGGCTCCATCACCATCCAAGGTGGTAGAAGGGGCTCTTTTGCGCCTGGACTTACTGGTGTGGTTGACCTGGAGGTGCATGGCCATCAGCTCTGCTGAGGACGTGCGAAAAGGGCAGAACAAACACTGGCTCAGTTTGACCGCCATTGAAATATCCCCTACGCCATCCCCACCGCCGACACCTCCTCCCTCCCCTAAGCTCATGCCTCCATCCTCCTCCATGCCTCCAAGGCCAGGTGAGGGGCGGCGAGACAGATCCAGGGGTTCGAAACCCCCTTCTTGAGTTGAAGGCGCAGGCCCTTCCTTGTCACTCAGTGGTTGAACCATTCGGCTAGTAGTAAGGGGCTTGCGACGGGACACTTTAGGGGCCTTGGGTGGGGGAGACTCCCTGATCCAGCCTCCTTCCATTCCACCTTGGTAAAGGGCCCCCATCACCCCAGACAGATACCTGTACTGGGTCTCCAAGTCGACATCCCTTAGAGCGGCCAAGGCCTTCCGGTGCTCCCGCTGGTCTGGAAGCCCCAGGAGCCAAGACTGCTGGCTGGGCCGAGAGGTGGGGTCGTCGGTTGGGCCTCGGTTGGGAGGGCAGTGGTTTGGCTGGGATCGGCGCTGCTTGGCCAGCCCCGAGGTTCCAGAGGTCAGACTGTTGATAGTGGGGCTGAGACCACTGGAGGAGGAATTGGAGGAGGCTGACAAGGCGTTGCGTTGCTCCCTGTGATGCCGCTGGAGGTGGTACTTCAGCGAGCCCGACTGGGTACCCGCATAGTCACAGTGGGGACATTTGTAGGGTCTCTCGCCTAAAGAAAATGAGATGAACAAAACAAGATTGGGGAAACAGTATTGGAGTATTAACTAAAGTAGCAGCTAACCTAGGAGAGACCACTGATTTTGCATGTTTTAGCTCATTTACAACAAATCACATACACTTTATATTAGTACTAACCATTCTTTGTAAAAACTATATTTAATAATAATGTAATTATATATAAATATATACAGTATGTATATAAATATACAGTATATATAACACACATGGCAGGCAAGCTTGAAGAGCCTGCTAATTTAAATAATGTATACTTTTTCACATCATAGTGAATGAATAGCAGACATTGGTTGTCTGAAAAGTCAAAGAAAATCTGTAACACTAGAGCATTTATTCAAAATTGTCAGCAGTAACTTGCAAAATAACTGGCATCTTCCATTTCAACAGTGGGTGAGTGGGAGATGTAATTATGCATTTTAAAGGGAGATGGCAGTATTTCATCACTGATTGAATACGACACTGCTGGGAGAGATAAAGGGGAGGGGGCATCATGCTGGAGACAGATCAACAGCAGGAAATGCATTACGTATGAAAAGCATAAATTATCTTATTCACATGAAAAAAAGGAACACACACAAAGAAAACGGCTCTATTGATGACTGCAGATGCACATGCAAAAGTATGAACAATATGATTTTGTTGCTGGAGCAAAAAACATGTCACAGGAGTCTCTTGGAGAAATAGTATCTAGAGGGTATTATTACAATTCGATGCCTTCACTTAAATTACTGACCATGTGGTAATCACTTGATGGCACAGAGAAGCAACAGTGCGTGATGAAAAGAGCTGTATGCTATCATGAATAATACAGCTGTGATGTGATGGGTCCTGTCAGCTATAGACAATTATTCATAATGGCAATATTAAATAGATTTCATTGAATGCATTTTTGGGCACCGTCTTGCTGGAAAGACTTGGATGTGCTCCAGTTCCCAGTTGCTGGGGATTGGTGGCATCTCAGAAACTGGAAGACGGGTCTTAATTTTGATCAAATACATCAAGCGAAGAAAGCAAATAATAAAAAAAATGGCAATGACTCATGCTGATAAAGTCTTATGAATATGGATAATTAATTAAGAGCGTGAGTGAGTGCTGTGAGAGTTCCCAATTTTCATTAAAGTCACCAAAAATTCAATAGGAGTTCTTTTCATTTTCTTTTGTTTTTGTTTTAAGTCTTGGAGAAACCTGTTAGATTGTGTTGGATTGCCCTGTGTGTCTGTTCTCAAGTCAGAATTATTTAGAAATGATTTGATGTAATTACAGATTCACTTGCTTCAAAGACAAGATCAGAGAATGTGAATCTCAGAAAGATTAAAGCCCAAATTGCTATTATGGAGAAATCTGTGAGCATATATTTTTTTATAGTTAATCTAAAAAATAACCGTGCCAAACCATTTCAATTTTGCACAAATTGGAATTCAATTCAACTAATAGAAAAAACGTTTGTCTTATTGTCTTATTTTTTTAAATAAATTAAATAAATACATTTCTTCCTTTCTTTGGTGAGAGAAGTGAGCTTTTTACAAAGATTTAACCTTATTTAATCCCTGGAGTGGCTTGATTTTTCCTCAAAAACTACTGTTAATATACCCTTGAGCAAGGCACTTAACCAGGAGTTGCTCCAGTGGGGGCTGCTCGGTTGCCTGCAGTAGAGGGCTATGATTAGCGCTGGCCAGCTCTCTGGGGTGAGTGTGTAAAAAAGAAAAAGGTAGCGCTGCTGAAGCGAGGATGCTCAATGAAACCTTTCCAGGGATTTATAAAGGCTAAAAAAGTAAATGTGGTTTGTTAAACTCACAGCAGTTTCTCACCTGTGTGAACTCTCAGGTGCACTTTGAGATGGTGTGAAGAGCGGAAGGCTTTACCACAGTAGGGGCAGTCTTTTATCCCTCTACCACGCACTCGCTCCCTGTTGGGAACTGAAGGTATGGAGGAGACTGCTGTCAAGCCATTTTCTCCTGCAAGTGGAGAAAAATGTAAAGATAACAGCGGGTGTAAAGGGCCCTACGAGAGCTTCTATTTACTACAGAAAACAGAATGAAAATAAAACACTTGTGTGGAAATAACACTAACAAACAAACCAAAAGACAAGACAGAGAAAAAGCACATGTGATTGTACCTTTGAAGCTTGAGATGACGGAGTGAAACCCTGTAGCCGCCCCTGCTTGTTGTGATCCACCACCGTGCAGTTTTGATTCCTGTCTCACTTCTCCTGCTTGTTGGGATTCACCACTGTGTAGCTGAGATTCCTGTCTCACTTCACCGCTGCCTCCTCTTCCAAGCCCCGCTCTTCTACGGCTACCACTCCCTTCCTCTTCGCCGCCACCACCTCCTTTCTGGGGCCTCTGAGTGTGAACGCGAGCATGAACCACCACCTGCTGCAGGCTGCGGAAAAGCTTTCCACAGTCTGGGCATTCCCATGGCCCTCCTGCACCCCCAGACTCTTCTCTTGGATCCAGGCCTCCGAGGTAGGCCCTGACTTGGTCGGCCTCTGTGATCACGGAGTTCCGACCTTGGCCTCGCTGGCTTTGCTGCTGGCCTCGCTGTTGGGGCCTCTGCTGCTGCTGCTGCTGCTGAGCTACTGCCAGGCTGCGAGCCACCAGCTGCCACCAAGTGGCCTGGTCACCTCCTTCTGAAATTGATGCAGTAGTGTCACTTGTGCCCCCTCCTCTATTCGGTCCCCCTCCTCTTCCTTGGTCCCCTACTCCTGTGCCGCCAAAGCCACCACCATTTCCCATCTCTGCCACCTGAGCCACTGCTTGAAGTCTCTCCATGCAGCTAGCCCCACTGCCATCACTGGGTAACCCGAGGTAGCCGAGGATGGCTGATTTGCTTGAGCCCATCCCCATTCTGCCTCCAGTTTCTGATCTTCCTTGTCCACCTCTACCACCTCTTTGCTGGGCCAGAAGGAGGCTTGAATAGAGAGCGTTGAGAGACTGATTATTAGCAGAGCCTTTGCCTTGCTGCTCTGAACCTCCTGGTACCCCAAGGGTTCCCAGCCCGGCCTTCAGCCCAAGCTTGTTGAGATGTACTTTCATGTGGTTTTTGAGGAACCAAGGCTCTTTGAAGCCACGGCCGCATACCTGGCACTTATGGTCCAAGGAGTCCTTGTGCTTTCGCATGTGTCCCTTCAGGAACCAAGATTGGGTAAACCGCTGTCCACAAATATCACAGCGAAATGCTGGCAATGTGGGGGAGGCAGCCGCTGTAGCTGCTGCTGCTGTCACCTGTGGGGTACTTGGTGGTGGGGCTGGGGCTGGGGCTGGGGTATGCGTCGGGGTGGGCACAGGAGTATCAGGGGTTGCAATGACCAGCCTGGAATTGAAGGCCGGTGGCAGAGCAGGTACCTCAGGGGAAGGGTGGAACTCCTGCAAGTGAGATGCCAGGCTCTCTTCTTGGCTGGCAGAGAAGGGACAAAGAGTGCATTTATACGGGTTGTGGAGAATGCGGACATGGCGCGCCAACTCCGAAGCCGTGCGGAATTTTCCTTTGCAGGCATGGCAGCGAAACGTAGGCGCTATAGGAGTAGACACACCCTCCCCAATGGTAGAAGAATAGGGAGGAGTCACAGATACAGGATCCTCTGTAAGTGGAGGGGTCAATGGTGTACTGTCATCCAGTAAGAAGTTTGGGTTCTGGTCTGTCTGTAGGCCGTCATCTAGACCTTTGACCTCACCGTCAACATCCTCTTCTTCTGTAAGATGCTGGATGAGTGTCCCTGGCAGTATACGCTGGTTTGGGTGACTCCGGTGATTCTGGACTAAGTCTTTGTGGTTCTGCTGTATTTTGAGGTGCTGCTTTAGGGGTGCTGAAGGGAGTCCAGTCCGGTATAGGGCTAAAGCTCGGCGGTCTCGGTCCAGACTGTGAGCTCGGGCATGAAGAGACAAAATGCTTTGGAATCTGAATCTCTTTCCGCATACATGACAGGGGAACCTGAGCGCAGGTCCTGGTGAAGTCCCTCCCACTCCAGGTATTGCCCTGGTAACAGTATCTTTCTGGAACAGCTGTAGGTCTAGCTCATCGCTGCAGTTTCCACTCTGCCCTGATGAGAGGGCCAGCTCCAGGGCTCCAAACCCGAGGAGTGGCGCTGGTGGAGAGGAGTCCAAACAAGGGCTGCATCCAGCTTCTTGTCCCCCTCCTACTGGGAACAGAGCCACTGCCGGGGTCGGGGACAGAGGAACTCCATCCAGCCCTTCCTCCTCATCTTCTTCATCAACATCGTGGTGATTGTTGTTATTGTCCTCCAGGAGGGGGAAGGGAGAGAGGGGGAAATAAGGCGTGGTGTCCGGGCTCTGAGGGGAAGGTTCGGGGCTGTGAATGGGCAGGACAGCGGGGCTGTCAGGTAGAGAGAGCTGAGTGTGAGGAGAAGACGCCTGGGGGCTGTGGTCCAGGGATGGCAGTGTTGGGGGAGACTGGGGATGCTCACAAGAAAGAGACACACACTCCGGCGGAGAATCCATCCTCTGTCAGTACTAAACACAGAAATAAAGAGAGAGACAGATAGTGAGTGGAACTGACGGCTTAAGAGTTACAACTTTAAAACGCAAGAGGAAAGGTTAAATTTGCATGTTGTGCATAATTATCTTCAACTGTAACATGACCTTGACCAGATGTGGTAAATGGCGAAGAAATAGACACAATCAAATGCCATTAGTTTGCCTAACAGGTTCACGTGTCTGTGTATGTGTGTGTATGAGATCAGTAGAGAATTACCAGAAGTATGTGTGATGTTATGCCATTCTTTAGTGTCTCGGCTGACGGGGGACACACTTCTGTGGCAGCCTTCTCCTTTAATTTTCTGGGGACAAAAGCAAGCAAAAAAATGAGAAATGAGAAACTTAAACAGGAGTTATTTGCAATATAATCTTGAATTGAATTGCTTCCAGTTTAAAAAAAAATACAGTTTAGTATATTACTGAAGATATTATCAAACTAAAGACTTTATTTTTACTAAATTAGCAATATCAGTGTCCATGTAGGTGTAAATGCTTTTTGAAATATTGAGAGATGAACTGCAGGGAGCAGATTTTTGTCAAATAAGATTAAAAAACAACATTTGCATAGAGACTCTTCCAAATGTATTCCATTATAAATTCTAATAGCAGAGAAAGAAAACGCATTCCTCATTACAGCACCGCTTTGCGTGCGTTTAACTGCACGTAAACGTTAAGCACAAAGCAAATCTTCATTTGATCTTCAGTTACTCTTGAGCTTGCGTAGGTGTATGCGTGCGCTTGAATGTGTAACAGGTGTGCACCTGTTCTGCCTCCTGCAACTGTTCACAATGCTCTCCGGCATACTGACGGCACATATGGGATGATTAGCCGGAGTGTGAATGTGCATCGATGTGTATCTCTCTGGATATCCGTGTGTGTGTGTGTGTGTGTGTGTGTGTGTGTGTGTGTGTGAGTCAGTGTGTGTTTAGGAGTTAAGGGCACCACCACAGGACATAGACTGTCCCAAACAGGATGGGCGCGCGATGTTTTGACTTCCCCACACACCCTTCCTGTGCACTCATACAGTAGCAGCTTTTTGCTTAAATCAGGACTGTATACACACTTAAGCACAACAATGTTTGTTAAATCTATAGCCTGGGTGTGGTGCCATGACCCATACACTGCTTAGTCATGGTTACTTGTTTACGTAAGGCACAAATGTGAGCTTATTGTGTTGACTTTTACTGCAGCCGTCAGCCCGGATAACAGAGTCAGCTGAAATGTAAAGTGTGATATACAGCATATTGAACAACACCAGCATTTTGGCGAGCACGCTCCCACACCCAAATATTTCGAGTGCGCAGCACTTTGCATCAGTTCGACTGGATTTATGCACGTCGGCTGTTTTCGTCCATCATTTGGTGGAGTTGAGAAGCAGCGGAGGCGCCCACAACAAAACAAAAGGTCATCAATCATTGTGGGAAAACAATGGAACATCTGTGTTCGCAGGTG